CCCCCCGGCTCCGCCGTGCCCGTGCTGCGGCGTTCTACAACGCAGCGCAACAAAACCTGAAATGTACTGGAAATAATTCTACTATCAAATGCATTCAGCTCTGTTTGTTTGCTTTTAAATTAACATTGGGGATGAAATAATTCACTGAACTACAAAGAGATGCCTCGACTTGACAAGAATCGCAGGCAGGATTTCTTCCACTTGCAGTTATCACAGGAAAAAACATTTCAACATCTTGTCTGCTCAGTGCAAGAAAAATAGTTTTGTACTCCGTGCCTGGGAAACAAGGAGCTTATCAAACAATCTCAGGCATCAGAGGGACGAGATGGCAGAGGCGCCGCGGAGGCACCTTTACTCTCTGCTGTGCATAACTGGGAGCTGCTGCGGGGAAGGACGGGTCTCGGAGGCAGCACAGGGATGCTCTAATTACCTGCCGGTGTCCCTCATTAAGGGGATGGGTCCTGCCAGGGGAGCAGTGGCACTAACAGGGTGCTCGGGGCCAGCGCTGCAGCCCGGAGCTGAAGAAATGGGGGAAAAGGGACCGTTTCTCAGTGATTTTCCCACAGAGAAAAGTGGGGAAATGGCCCGGCCATGCGGGGAGAGGAGCGGAGAGTGCGGTCCGTGCCCCCATCACCCCATGCCTTGCGTGCGGATCCCTCGGAGGTCGCTCACCCCTCCTCATCCCATGGCATCCCCTCAGCCCGAGGGAGAAAAGCTTCGGATTAAACTCCGGCCGTGCGGCCGCAGCAGGGCTGTCCCGGCTGCCTCCTCTGCCCGCACACGAGGCACGCGCGCAGGGACGGCCGCAACGCTCAGGAGCTGCTTTCGGTAATGCCCGGGAGCTGCAGCAAAGCAGGCACGGGGGGATAAGCCGGACTAGTCAAAGAGCACATAAGCCTGGAGTCATAATTAGACATGGGGAGAGGAGCCATGACCTTGAGAGTATTAGAGAAGAGGACTTCTAATTAGGAGGCAAAGGGGCCAGGCGCTGTTTAACCTGTTTCTAAAAGTCATTAAACTGCCCCGGATGACTTTATTGCCAAGAAGATTTGGAGGACGAGCTGACGAGCATTACCAAAGCCGATGGAGCGAGAGGAGAGGCCGGGCTGGAAAGGAGGACACGCTGCGCTACAGCCGACCCCGAGCCCCCGGGGCTGCCCCCGCTTCTGGCCCCGCACGCGGTTAACAGCGGATCAGAAACAGCTCCCGAAAATTCCCCGGCAGCTCCATTTGCGGGACCGACTCCTGCACAGTAAATATTTCCAGGTGGATTAGGGCTGGAGAAGGCATTTAACTCAGGGAAGAGACTGGTGAGGTTTTGCTGCAGGGAAAACCGGAGACAGAAAGACGGATGTCATGGAAAGGCTCCTGGAGAGCATCAGGCCACAAGTCATACGTTTCCAAACCATTTTAGTGCACAAATCCCTTTGACTTTGGCACCTTGGGAACAAAACCGAAACAAAGCTGGGAGAGTTAAATAAGCCAGAGGAACTAAAAATATCTCTGGGTTGGTTGCCCCGTAGGTAGGACGCCCCAGCTGCCACTTCTCCGGCCGGGCACGGGACTTCCCGGAGTGTCCCGGCTTGCCACGGCGTTTCTCGCATGGCACCGACACATCCTCTGCGGGGGGGCTTCGGGGGAACCTGACCTCGGAGACTCATCCACACGGGTGAGAAGCCAAGGGATGGGGAAGTTTAAGCTTTAGGTTGGTTTGGCGGTTTTTTGTTATTTTGTTTTTTTTTTTTTTTTTCAATTGAGCTGGTTTGCTAATTCCGGTGTGAAAGCTTCTGACTGTTCCAGAGTCAACAACGTTACTGGGCAATCAAGCTCTCCACTTCCATCAGGTCTCTTCCACCCTCTTAATGAAAACAAATGCCACCAGTACAAGGGCCATCCTTCTTTGTCTTCTCAAGCCGTGAGAATGGGCTTGCTTTAGACTTCTTTTTATATATGTTATTTTAACAAATGAACCAAATTATGTCCCGGGGTGAGAAGCCAAGGGATGGGGAAGTTTAAGCTTTAGGTTGGTTTGGCGGTTTTTTGTTATTTTGTTTTTTTTTTTTTTTTCAATTGAGCTGGTTTGCTAATTCCGGTGTGAAAGCTTCTGACTGTTCCAGAGTCAACAACGTTACTGGGCAATCAAGCTCTCCACTTCCATCAGGTCTCTTCCACCCTCTTAATGAAAACAAATGCCACCAGTACAAGGGCCATCCTTCTTTGTCTTCTCAAGCCGTGAGAATGGGCTTGCTTTAGACTTCTTTTTATATATGTTATTTTAACAAATGAACCAAATTATGTCCCGGCCGCTCCCAGATACATCTAATTCCCAAACCATAATAGAGCTGTTTCTGGTCTCTGGTCGTTAATCCTGTTAGCGTCAGCCTGTGCGTCTGCTCCGCGCTCGCAGAACACGGCACTCGGGGGGGGGCAAAGTAAAAGCTCTGGGAAGCAGATTCCCGCACCAGTGCTCCCGAAAGGCGGGAGGGGGCTTAGCGGCCAATTAACGGTTGCTAATTACCTCTGGCCCGCCCTTTGCCCACATCCCTGCCCCCCGAGGAGGGAGCCGAGGTTGCTGGCACGGCGCGGGGGGGGTTAGTCCCCTTTTATGAAGTTTGTAATAAACCCCAGCGTCTCAGCCACTGAAATGCAATTGCCTTTCAAAAGCAGAGAATTAGAGCTTCCTAGGCAGCTTATGGCAGAGCCGGAGCAGGAGGGAAGCCCGGAGAAGCCAGGCGGCGGGGGGGGAT